CCCCCCCCCCTCCCCCGAAACAGGACGATGACTCGCGCGTGCCGCAGGAGCTGTACAACCTGATCCGCAGCCACGGCGTGGCCAACCGTTCGATTGTCGGGTCCTTCATCGACCGGAACACCGAGGCCTTCCGCAAGATCGCCCCCTCGATCCAGTCGCTGGCCACCGCCAAGGAGGCCACCGCCTTTGCGGCGGCCTTCCACAAGGGCGACAACGCGGCCGCCTGCCGCGCCGTGAGCGCCTCCAACTGGCAGGACCTGCCCACCCATCTGACCAAGAACTGGCCGGCCTACATCAAACTCTCGCACCAGTGCAAGAACAAGGTGGCCTTCTGGACCATCAACGACACGGCCACCATGGAGAAGCTCCTGAAGGACGGCGCCGACGGCATCATCACCGACAAGGTGGCTGAGGCGGCTCGTCTCTTCCGCCGTCTGGGCTACAAGAAGTAAAGCACCCCCCCTTCTCGGGGGTTTGTCTCCCCGCTCCCCTGTCTCTGTGTATTTCCGTGCACATGCCCGCGGGGGAAAGGCTGGGGCTGGCGGGGCGTGGGGGCGTCTCGTGACACCCTCCCCCCCCCTCCCCTGGCCTTTCCCTCTTGATCGCCGCATCCCTCCGCGCACTCCGCTCCTCGGCTTCTGCCGGTGGCGGGTGAATATACACACATCCCGTCCGCGTGCGCGCGCACACACCCACACACCGATGCGGAATCACCCCGGGCGATGGCTCGCCCCTTTTGCTTCCTCTCTTTTTTTTGGACATTCTTTATTGGGGGAACACAAGAACAGGAGGAGAACCGCCCCCCGCTCGGAAGGGAGGGGAGAGGGGGGGGCTGGAGGGTGGCGCAAGAGAGGACTAAGATGCCCCGAGAAGGTGCGTGTGTGTATGCACACACGCACGAAGAAGGGCAAGGAGAGGGCAGGCGGGAGGGGGGGGGGCGAAAAAAAGGGGCAAATTGTCGCGACCCCCCTCTCTCGCGGGCGGTGTTGGGCGGCGGCAGGCCCGGCCACCGGTGGCACCTAGGCAAACATTGCATTGGCAATGGGAGGGCAGTGCGGGGACGAATGCGATTCACTGGATGCCCGCGTGGACATACTGATGGGGTGCCCATGTGGACAGGCTGGCACCATCGCTGGGAGGAGTGGGCGGGAATGCCGCGGGGCGAGGCACCGGGGGGGGGGGGGGGGGGCGGCCGAGGGCAGGTTGCTGGA